AGCCCAGGCTGGTCTTAAACTCTCAGCTCTCCTCTTGCCTTGGCCTCCCAAGTGCAGAATTATAGGCACACACACCACATCTGGTTTCGTGTTAACTTCTGACACGACCTCAATGGATCATTCATAGCTGAGGCTGACATTGAGCTCATTAGGAGCCTAGGCTGGCTTCAAAGTCACCCTAAGCTGTCTTCTGGCCAACCTGCACAGTGACTGCTGGGATCACAGTGTGAGCCCACCACACCTGGCCTGATCACTTGCTCTTCCGAATAGCTCTTTATTCTATTTTAATTAGAAACACATCCTCAGTCCTTTTTTTTTTCTTCAGGCTTGTGATATTTTTAAAAAGTACTGGCAAATTATTTTGCAGAATATATCCCAATTTAAATTTGACTGTTTCCTTATGATTAAATTAATGTTAGATATGTCAGTCAATGCCTGACACCTCAGAGCTTCGCCAACAGAATGAATCCATTGTTAGAGTTTTTCATTTCCACCAGTCTGATAAGTAAGACATTGTATCTCAGCATGCTTTTCATTTCCACTTCTCTAATTTTGAGTGATGGTGAACATCCTTTCATGTTTCAGGGACATTTTTATGTCTTTGTGAATTATCTGATTAGGTTTAATCCTTATATTTCTATTGGATTCTGTTGTTGTCCTTCAAAGATTTTTTTATTTTTCAAACAGATTAGCATTTTTAGCACTTTATTTGGTGTGCATATTTCAAATGTTTCCCTACAATTCATCAGTTGACCATTGATTTTTATCATGTTTTTTACAGGCAGTATTATTTTTCTGTCAATTTATTTATTTGTTTTTTTTTTTGGTTGTTGTTGAGACGGGGTCTTGCTATGTAGTTCAGGATGGCCTCACACTCACTGCAATCCTCCTGCCTCAGCCTCCTGGGATTACAGGCCTGTGCCACCACACCCACCTTCTATCAATTTATTTTTATCAGTCTTTTCCTTTCTTTTTGCCTCTGAATTGAGCCACAGTTGGAAAGCCTTTCTTATACGAGATTAAAGAGAAATTTACATATTTTCTTCCAGTTTTTATAAGTTTCCATTTAGACTTCTGATGCATTTACAATTTAGTTTTATGTATAATGGGAAGTCTAGATATGGTTTTATCTTTTACCCACTTATTGCAAAGTGTTTCTTTGTTCCAGTGACTTGGTTCTACCTTCACAATATACTAAATCTCCATATGAATTTAGGATTTCTGGGCTGCAGTCTACTATTGTTTTTGTCTGTTCATGAGCCAGTACCGTGCTTTTTATTATAAAGGCTTTATACATAGAATGTTTTAGAAGTTGGTAGGCGAGTTCCCACTTAAAGTTTTTCAGTATTTTTTTCTGGCAATTCTTGAATGTTTGCCATATGAAATTTATAGTGCTTTGCTGTTGTTATTGGGTTGGATTAAAATTTAATTTATGGAGAACTGATACCTGTTTAATACTAGATCAACCTATTCAAGAGGAGAGGGTTATCTTTCCATCTGATTTAGTCTTTGTGTTTTACAAGAATTTTTAAAAGTTTTTTGAGATAGATTTTTTTCCATATTTCTTGTTAATTTTATTATTATTTTTTTGGTCTTTTTGAGACAAGGTCTCACTATGCAGTTCAGGTTGGCCTTGTACTCACTTTGTAACCCAGGCTGGTCTCAAACTCACAATGATCCTCCTGCCTCAGCCTCCCAAGTGCTGGGATTACAGGCATGTGCCACCACACCTGGCTCTTGTTAATTTTATTCCTCTTTGATCTTTATTTTTATTTTAGTTGATGGCTCTCTTATAATGTTACAGCTTGTGTCTAGCTGTCCCCCCAAAACCTCATGTGGTCATACATGGGCCTTTTCAGAGGGGGCTGGTGTAATGGTGGGATAAAGGATGTGTAATTACTAAATCAGTTCACTGATAGATTTGGCCTAGTTCTGGCTAGGATTAAGGGTGTGAGTATTACATTTTTCCTAAGGCAGGTAGCCTGCATGGACTATAAAGGGGCAGAAAGAGGACTAGCATGCTTTCCCCTTGGGACTGTTTCTCCTCTGTGATGCTCCTCTGCCGTGCCACCCTGCCTTGGAGCCAACTGACTATGGACTGAACCCTCTACAGTTGTGAGCCAAATAAACCTTTACTTCTTTAACTTCGTGTGTTAGGTATGTTGTCTCAGAGTGAAAAAAGTAACTACAACCAATATACTATGTTTATTATTTATGAAGGCTATTTTGATTTTTGTATATTTTTTTATCCTCCTACTTTCTGAATTCTTTTATTGAGTTAACTTTTGCCATTGTTTCTCTAGAATTTCCCAGGTATATTGATGTAGTGAAATTGGGCATGTTCATGGTGGTATGGCTGTAGATAATTGCTGTTTCATCTAAAGTAGGGATATTGTACTTATTCCTTACTCGTTCTTATACTTTTATTTGATTTCTCTTGCCTAATTGAATTAGCTAATACCTACAATTCAGTCTTGAGTAGTAATAAACATATTGAACATTTTTGCTTTGTTCACTGACCAAACCCAGAAATTATGAACAAACTAGGTAGCTTTGGTAAGAGAATCAAAATTGCCCTGCAGAAGGGTATATTTTTGTTCATAATTTTTGGCTTTATTGCCTTGCAATCTAAGTGTTGTTTCTAACATTTCCACATAGAACTCACTGATGTTTTTGTGACCTAAACTATGACCAATACACATTAAATATATTTTCTACAGTAAAGGTATAACATTTAGAATATATTCATGCAAATCTACCTCACTGACTAGGTTTACTAGGTTCTTTTTTCTTTCTCCATGTACTCCATACACATACAGACATGTTTCTTGTCTTTTAGTAACAGTAGTCTGTTCTATTACTATTCTACTCTTTCAGTGCATTTCTTTCTGTGTCCTCTAACCTTCTGTAATATTTGCTTCACAAATGTTCTTTGGTGTATAACTATTCATGGTTTTTTTGTGATTATGGTTTTAAGCATTAAGAGTAATCTTTATCACATTTAAAGCCTTTTTTGGCTAGAATTGTATTTTATCAGATACTGGATTATCTTTTCACTGCTTCCTGTTGCTAAGGAATTCCTTTGCCTTCCCTTTATTGTCATTTTGCAAACATTATGTTTTAGATAGGCTTTCTGTGTGTCATATTGAAATGTAATTTGATAGGCTTTCTGTGTGTCATATTGAAATGTAATTTGAACTTGCTTTGTGGACCAAGTTAAAAGTATTGCCAGGCATGGTGGTGCACACCTGTAATCCTAGCACTTGAGAAGCAGAGGCAGGAGAATCACTGACAGTTTGAGACTAGCCTAAGCTACATAGTGAGTTCAAGGCCAGCGTGGAATATATGGCAAGACCCTGTCTCAACAAAACAAAACAAAACAAACAACAAAAAAGAAAGTGTTTTTCTTTTATTGGATGATTCAGTCCTATTTATACTATTGATATGACCTATGTGCTTGATCTTTATGCTTTCATTTTATTTTATAATGATATGTATTTTATGGTACCATGTTTCTGTGTTTGTTGGGTACGCTTTGTTGTTTTATTTTAAATTTGAAAGGTACGTATTTTTGTTTTAGTAGTTTGTACTTTTCTTTATCTGATTCATTAAGATTTTAATGGTGTCCTGTAACTTCTGCCTATTGCCTGAGTAATGGTCTTTCTGGTGCTTAATTTTTGTGTACAACTCTTATCACCAGTTACCATAGCATTTTCTCTTGTTTTTTGGCCTGGGGAGCAGGTACTGGGAATCAAACTCAGGACCTCATGCTTGCCAGGCAGGTGCTGCACAACTAAGGTAAATTCTGGCCTTCAGAGCATTTTAAACATTTGATTTGCCCATTGTAATGTAAGTACCATGAGAGCAGATATAATTCTCTCCTGTTTAGTGACGTTTCTTCAGTTCCTGGGACAGCTCAGATAGAATATTTAATGAATCTTCGCTCTATGAATGAATGAAAGACTCAGTGAGTGCATTAATTTCCTTTCCTGTTTTCTTGTGTAGTGCCCGAAAGGCAGTGGACGAGGAAGAGGAAGCAGTTGAAGAACGTCGGAATATGGGAACAGTTTGGGTGTCTGGCAGAAAAGGTTTAACTCCAAGAGAAGCAGCAGTCTTGATAGTGGATGAAGCCAAAATGATCCTGCAGCAGGACTTAGTTGAAATGGGAGTTCAGTGGGATTCCTGTTCCCCTTTAAGTGCTGGTACATACTCACTGACTGGGAGTGAGTCAGAGGAGAAGGAACACACACTTGTACTACAGGCTCCAGGTTGTCGCAAACAATTAACACCAAAGAACAAAAGTAATACAAGATTTAGTGACACTTATGTTAGTAATTCACCAAATACAGTGGAAGATTTAGATAAAAGAAGAGAGCACACAAATTCCTTTCACTGTAAGCTCCAGAATAGTAATCAGGGGCATAGGAGAGATTCCATTTTCAGAGGAAGAAAACGGGCTTCTTTGGGCCTAAAAAAAGAGAAGCCCAGAACTTTTCTGAACGAGGGAAAAATGAGCACTAGGAAAGTTGTTCCAGTCTCATTAGGGAAAACAAAAAAAGCAACTTTGAATTTTAGTTCAGACCAGATGAGCCCAAGTTTTCTATGTTGGAAACTTAGAAAGTGCCAAAAACAATCCCGGGACAGAAGTCCTGTGACTGACTCTGGGATGAAAGGCTCTATGTCTGGTCCTGTTTGTGAAAACACATTTATGTTTGATGAGAAGACTGTGGAATTTCGAAGTCCAGAGCCCCTGGTCAAAAATATGGCTTGTGCTGGGGGAAGAAACAATAAAACATCATTCCTGTTACAAACAGAGCAATATTGTTTAAGGAATAGAACAATAACTAATGATTCTCTTGTGGAGCATTTTTTAATGGGATCCCCAAGCAAAAATAGGATTTGTGAGCCCACTAGTATGGTTAGTAAAAATGAAAGTGGAATAGCTGTCAGTGAGACAGAAAAAATAAATAAAGTAGCAATTCAAAATGATTCTAAAAACCAGATTCTTCCTGTGAAACACCATGATACTCATCCAGTGAACCAGTGGCTGGAAAAACAATGTGGTAAACAGCCAGATGCTTGTACTACACAGAAAAAAATAACAGAGGCAAAAATGCCTTGTGAGGTAGTCAGTAGTTGTATGCATAGAGTCATAAATGTTGCTTCTAGCAAATGTGAAACTGTGAAGTCTAATAGTGAAGAAAGTAAATCCAATCATTCTCAAGCATTAGGAAGTAGTAAAAGAACTGAGGTACCTAGTGGAATATTTCAGTCAGTGGGAATATTTGGGAAATCAGGAGGTCAGCATGAAAAATTTTTAAATTCTTCTAGAATGCAAGAAAAAACAACAAACAAAAATGAAAATAATCATGCTTCCAATTTAGGTTTAGTACTGTGTGATTTTAAAGATAGTTTCTACCTAGATACTCAGTCAGAGAAAATAATTCAGCAGATGGCAACTGAAAACACCAAACAAGGAGCAAACAACACCAACCTTACAGCAAGAAAAAGCTCAGACAGACAGAACTCACTGGGCTCTTTTCAGAAAGAGTTTCCTGTCACTTCCAGTGAGCAGCATCCTCCAGGAGTGACGAGCACAGCCCATTCAGACCCTAAGACTGTAGTCATGGAGGAGCAAAGCACCAAACATGGGGTTGATAGCCCAACTCCAGAAAGCCCAATTTTTAATTCTCCAATACTAATAGAGGAAAATGGACCTTGTTTTAAAGGATGTGAAACTTCTGTTACTGACTCCCAATTAAATAGTTTTCTTCAAGGTTATCAAACACCTGTGACTGTGAAGTCAGTCCTACCTGTGCTGCCTCCAAAGAGAACTCCCCCTGATATGAAAGGAGACTGTCTGCTAGATCCTGAAACAAGCTTGAATATGAGTGACAGTTTTCTCTTTGACAGTTTCAGCGAAGACTTCCTAGTAAAAGAACAGCCACCTGATGGGCAAGCAAAAGAACTCCTTCCTTCTGAAATAACGTCAAACCGTGTCAGTGATTCTCTGTGTCTGCAGCAAGAGGATCCAGCTAAAACATCAAGTATGGATAAACATCAAAATGTTCAGCAGCAGTTAACTTGTTTCAATAATGAATCTATTATGTTTTCAGAAGTAGATTCTGCTCAGATGATTGAAGCTATGGACAATGCCAATGTAGCTTCTGTCCAAGAGAAACACAATACTGAAGTACCTTTTAGAGCATTAGAACAAAGTGATTCAGTGATTAAAGATAATGGTCACCCCCATGGAGAGGTAATTGGAGGACATCAAGACGAAATGGCTGAAAAGTCCACGTTAACTGAGACAAGGCCAAATAATGCATTCATATGGTCAGGGGCGTCCTTTGATTTAAGTCCAGGATTGCAACAGATTTTAGATAAAGTGTCCAGCCCTCTAGAAAATGAAAAACCAAAATTAGTGACTGTACACTTACCTAGATTGAAAGGACAAAGTACTGAGTTAAATGAGAGACCAGAAATGATTTCAAATTCAGAGACATATCAATCTCAGGGAATTTCACCTTCCTGTAATAATGGAGTAAAAAGCAAAATGGATGCACCAGAGAACAAGGCCAGTCACGGTGAAAGTCCATCCCTCTTGCCTTGTAAAGAAAACTCAGTCATCGATGCTAATGGTCTCATTCCTCCTACACCCATTCCAGTATCTGCTTCTAAGCTGGTCTTCCACGAGATTCTTGGACCTTCTGTAAAACCTTGTACAAATAATGCTTTACAGCTTGGTGAAGGTTATTCATTTGGGTCACCTTCAGATATGAAAAGCCATGGCTTAAGTCCAGAGAGTAGGAGTCGTTTCCAAGGTGATGGTCCTGTTAGACACACAAGTGTTTCACTCCAGGTGTCACAGGATAGCTTGCAGTTAACTCCAGTCTCCTGCAGTTCAGAAAGTTTGGCTATAATCGATGTAGCAAGTGACCAGACTCTCTTTCAGACATTCATTAAGGAGTGGCGGGGCAAACAACGGTTTTCTATCGCACTGGCCTGTGAAAAGACAAGAAATCTGACGTCCTCTAAAGCTGTTACTATTGGTGAAAGGTTTAAGCAAGGTAAAAATTTTATGAAATTTTGTTTTTTCCCATTATAAACTAGTGGACTGAGATGAGATTTTGCCTTTTTAGTATTAAATATTAGACACAATCTTGTTGAGAAATAGCTTTATTTATTTGGTCTAGCTAGATTCTAATTATTATTCCCCAGTATAAGAGGTATATGTGATACATATGATATTAGTTGGGGGCTGGGGATATAGCTCAGTGGCACAAGTGCCTGCCTGACAAGCACGAGGTCCTGAGTTCGATTCCTAGTACCTAAAAGAAAGGCATACTATATTAGTTGGAATATAAATTTATGAAAATTAAGGTAATTTTGAATATTATCAGGCATTTCTCTTATACTTAGATGTTGTCCTAATGTGACATGCAATTTTTATTAATCACTAGTGTTCATGAATTATTTTGTATTAGCTTATAATACCATTATTTACTTATATAACCACAGAAGTACATAGCAGATAGGCATTATATTGCTTCAGAATGTGCATTAACTACATTTTTCCAGATTTATCTAAAGTAGAACTTTGACCACCAGTGAATAGTCATGAATGAATTCCACACTGAAATGTTGATTCCAAAGTCTGACAAAGCTGTCCCAGATTTTGCAAGTTGGTGCTTTTGGTAAATACTGCCATGATATTCTCGTCTAACTGCATGACCCTGGGTTCTCGATTATGGGCAGTACCTGTAGTAAGCTTTGTGAAACCATTGTGGAAATTGGATTTGACTTGATTTCTTGAATCTCTGTATTTACAAATGAGTATTTTTCTAAACTTGTAACTATTTGATCTTCAGTTCATAGAACATACCAGTTAATAGTTGTTATGTACTTTTAGTGTTCAATAGCATTTTCCATTTTTTGTCCATTACATAAAAAATTGAGCACATTTTCTGTTAAGAGGCTGTTTGCTAGAGACTAGAGGGATTAAAACACTGTTTGAAATTTAACGAATGTGTATTGAGTTCTTACATGCCAGTTCAGTGCCAGTTATTTTTCAGGTAGTGAGGAAATGTTTGTAAGTGAAACAGATCGGTTATTTTTTTGTTGTTGTTTTTTCTTTTTCTTTTTTTTTTTTTTTCTGGTATTGGGAACTGAACTCACGACCTTGTGCTTGCCAGGCAGGTGCTGTGCCGCTGAGCTAAATCCCCAGCCCTCAGATTGGTTATTGACCTCTGTAAAAATGAGGATCTATTAATTTAGGTAAAATAATAGATATTAGAATCATAGTTCATAAATCATAGTTTTAATAGACATTGAAATCATAGTTCTTCAGTAAGGAGTAGAACTCAGTTTCTTCTTTGTTAAGAATTGCTGAATGTGCTACAGTATTTTTGCGATACGCTAGTCCTCTTGATTTCTTTTCTGTTTTTTTTTTGTTGTTGTTGTTGTTAGACAGGATCTCACTGTGTAGTTCAGGCCTGGCCTTGAGTTCATAATGTAGCCCAGGCTGGCCTTGAACTCATGGCAGTCTTCCTGCCTCAGCCTTCCAAGTGTGGGAATTACAGTTGTGCACCACCATGTCCATATGTCCTCTTTGTGTTTGAGTTATAGAAACTTATAGTGTAGCTTTCTTCCTTTAGTTGGTAATACTGATTTAATCATTATTATAGATCTACTTTAAGAAATCTTTCAAAGATTTTTTATGATGACAGGTATCTTACTTGATAGGAAGCCTAGAAAGATCTTATATACATCAAATAGCTATCTTAATAATGCCTATTTTAAAATCTGTAAATTGTATCAAGTGTAGTTTTTTATCATTGTTTTAACAATTTGTTTAACGTCTTATGGATTTTTTGACTATTTCACATTGGTTCACTTAGCTCGCTTACATCAGGAAACCCCGGTTCAAGATGATAGATTTTTTGTTCAAGGCTCAGATGACACACTAGTGGTTGGACTGGCAGTGTGCTGGGGTGGAAGAGATGCATATTATGTTTCACTGCAGAAGGAGCAGCAGCATTCTGGTAAGGAATCAGAATTTGGCCAAGTCACCATGTAATTAATGAAACACCTATTAGGGTAGTAATTCCATTTGTTGAGAACAATACCCTGATATGACTCAGGATTTATTTATAAAATTGAAAAGTATTGTTATTTGGATAGCAGTAAATGTGTACATAATTGCCAGGGCTTGAACCTAGTGCCTTGCACCTGCTAGGCAAGTGCTCCACCACTAGTGCCTTGCACCTGCTAGGCAAGTGCTCCACCACTTTAGCTAGCTGTACCCCTAGACTGGAATGAGTGTTTTAAGAAGTGCTTTCTTTGCTCCCTCTTCCTGTTACATAACCAGCTGTAAGCAGTGGACCAATGGTTATTTCTTCTCAGTCTTTTCCCCTGCTTTGATTGTGTCTGGATCTCATCCAGAGACAGTGTTGCTGGGTCACATAGCCTTTGGAGGAGCCTTTGGAGTTGAAAGCATAAGATCTAGAAATACCTTGTGGTCTGTTATGGCTGGTAGACACTCAACTGTTGGCTTGGTTTTGGACAGGAGCAAAATTAATAAGGTTTTCATATAGAGTCTGTTCCTTAGTAAGGATGAAGTATTTTCACTTGCTTGGTAGGAAAGTTTGTTGGGCTCAGTAGTTGCTTGAACTTCTACTTTTACTTTTGATATGACATTATAATGTCTCCCTTGAAAATTCACTTCAGTGCCAAGCATGTTAGCAGTGCCATGCCTGTAATCCCAGGATCCCAGGGTCACTGTGAGTGTGAGGCAAGCCTGGAGTACATTGTGCATAGAAGGCCAGCCTATACCACATAGCAAGACTCTGTCTCAGAACAAAACAAAGTAATAATAAAATTAACTTCAAGATACCTATCTTTAACTCCTTTTTCTGAAAAATGTAGTTTTATTTTGAAGTCTTGATATTTTAGAGTTTTCTCTCCTGTGATTAAATAGAGCTTTATAAAACTTGTAGCCCAAACCTAATATTTAGATTAAGAAGCACTTCCTGTAGATAGTCAATATGACCTGGACAAGGCTATGCTGACTTAGTGGTCACTTGGCACTGGATCCTTAGCTTCTGAGTTTTTTTTTTTAGCCTTAAGATTGCTGCTTCAAATAAATCATGTAATTTTTGCATTAAGACTTTTTTTTTTGTCCCAAGAAATTAGTGCCAGTTTGGCCCCACCTCCTCTGGATCCAGCCCTGACTGTGAGAGAAAGGATGTGGCACCTTCAGTCATGCTTGCAAAAGGAATCTGATAAGGACCGCTCTGTTATCATCTATGATTTTATCCAGAGCTATAAAATTCTTCTGCGGTCCTGTGGCATCTCGCTGGAGCAAAGTTATGAAGATCCTAAGGTTCTCTATCTTACTGATTTTTATGAACTTAAACATTGTTAGGATTTAGGTTAATTCTTCAATTAGTTGGTATTTATTTAACTTAAATAATGCAATTTAAATTGTTTAGAGAAGTTATGTCTTTATCCAATAATCTCTACCCCCAGAATACAGTATTATGTACCAAATATCTCTGTGTAGATGAAAACAGAGTTGTCACAAATTCTAAACCCTAAGGCTCATGTCTTTCCTCAGAGATTTTTTTAAAAATTAATTTTAGTCATAAATTGTAAGTTTTTGTCTCATAGTAAATTCAAAGTGAAATAAGAACTGTTCAATTTAGGTATATGATAGGATTTTCCAAATATCCATGAAAATGGAGGCAGAAAATAGGAAAGGTTCATGATTACAAGATGTCAAAAGGGTTATACCTCGGGGACACAGAGGTACATTGTACTAGTCACTGAGAATGTTCTTACGTTGCAGCAAAGCGCGATACACTCTTCATAGCTCTCAGTTAATACAGGGAGGGGTAACGTTATAGAATATACATTTAACACCATAATGTGTTTCAGAAGATCTTTATTTATAATATAATCTTTAAAGATACATCACTCTTTCCATTTTTTGACAATGGACATATTAGACATTCAGAGTACTAATTTAGAATTGAATAAGTAGTATGACAGTTGTTACCAATGCTGTGTAGTCGATAGGATGATCTTTTAGTTTCTTTTTTTCTTTCTTCCTTTTTCTTACTTTCATGTGGTACTGGGGATTATGCCTAAACCTAAGGTTTAATGCATGCTATGCAACATGCTCAGCCACGGTTTCTTTTCTTTTTTCTTCTTTTTTTTTTTTTTTGGCTAAGATTTTAAATGAACGTCTACTAGATATAAAAGGTTATCATTTAATTTTGGAGTCTAAAATAAGAATTTCTATATGAGCCTCTCATTAAAACTATATAGCATCCTAGATTCATATAGCATCTTCTTCTTAAACTACTTGAAATATTTCATGTTTGGTTTTATTAATCACACTTTTGGATAAGATTTTTTTAAAATCTCATTCTTATAACTAGCCAACTTTTATATCAGACTCTCTCATTCAAAGCACCACATGATTAGCCTACAAAAGAAGTAACTGAGTCATGCAGTCATTTTCAGAAATATTAGCAAAACTTAGATTTCTGTATTATAAGTCTAGTTCATGGTCTGTTTTATCTAGTATCAGAAGCTACAGGATTCCTAGTTTCAAGTGGAAGCTAAAAATAGCAATCAGGTGACTAATTGGACAGTCCTGGTGATAGACTCCTATCCTGAAGAGAAAATATAGAGACTTTCTGAAGACCTGGATATGAACTTTTGATAGTAAGACATTTGTGCTTCATTTCTGCTGTTGAAAGAGCTATGGAAACCTAAAATCATATGGGCCCATCTTATTATAGTTGCTTAGGCCAAATTAGCCTAACCCTCATCTTTCTTCTCAGACACATGGTTTCAGTTGGAGGCACTTGGTTTTTAAACCTTCAAAAGTAGGCTATCCAGGAGCATTTTGATGATGGAAAAGTGAAGTCCACTGCTGTTATTGGTACCAAACTGTGTCCTGTTGTGATTGTGCCACTGAATAAGTGAAATGAGTGATATAAATAAATTTTTACACAAAGGTCTTAGAAAACATCAGAAAATATTCTGATTGCTATCCTATTCAGGTCGCATGCTGGTTATTAGATCCAGACTCCATGGAGCCGACTCTTCACAGTATGGTCACCAGTTACCTTCCTCATGAGCTCCCACTTCTAGAAGGCCTGGAGACCGGACCTGGAATTCAAAGCCTGGGGCTGAATGTGAGCACTGAGCATTCTGGGCAGTACAGAGCATCTGTAGAGTCCATTCTCGTCTTCAACTGTATGAACCAACTCAACTCTTTGTTGCAGAAGGAAAACCTTCAAGGTAAAAACAAAGTTCTTGACATTTTTATGGTACCAACAGCTAATAATTCTTTATCACAGACAGGTAAACTGCACATTTTATGTAGACCATACCTTCAGATTGCCTAGTGCACTGGCCTGCAAACTTTCCTCTGTAAAAGCCTAGAGGGAACTTACTTCTGACTTGTGGCCGGATGGCCTCTGTCACAGGCTCTCCACTCTGACGTTGTAGCACCACAGTAGCCATACACAATACCAAAACAAAAGGCTGTGACTGTCTTTCAGTAATTTATTTACCAAATCATGTATCTGATGCTAGCTTGGACATCGTTTGCTAACCTGTGGTCCTGTCATAAGGAAGAGAATTAGTAGCATTTAATTTAATTGTTTCCAATTATATAGTTGAAATTTATCAATGATTTTTTTCCTGCTTAGAAGACATCTTTCATGCTTTTACAAAAGTGACTTTTTTTTAGAGAGAGCAACAATACTTTCTTCCACAAAGGATATTCATGTGGTTTCCTTCTTGCCTCATGATAAATAACATAAATTTATTGAGAAGTCTGCTGGCCCAGAAAAACTATTTTGATTTTACAAATGTGATGGTAGAGAGTGAAGGCAGCCGGGTTAGTTGGTATGATACAAGGGAGGCTGAGACAGGAAAATCATAAATCTGAGACCAGCCTGGACCATTTAGCAATTTAGTGAGACTTTGTCTCAAAATAAAAAAATAAAATTTAAAGAGTCCTTTTACTCTAAGATGTAGCTCAGTGTAAATGCACACCTTCATTCCGTAGTGACCCCACCCCATGTGTGCGTGGCAGTGAAGGAGAGCAAGCTTGGCTTTATTGTGAGGAGATTATACCGTGAATTTATTGACAGATTGAGCAGTAGATTCTAGAATCCTCCAGTTGATGAGTTTACACAAACCGGGGTTTGGATCTGGGCTGTCTTACTAGCTGAGGGACTTTGGACAAGCTACTGAAACTCTAAGTCTGGTTAGAGTTTACTGAAACTCTAACTCTTCAAAAGTTGTTACAAACATTAAATGAAACATAGTGAAGGGCTTAATATCATATCGGTTATTATGATGATTATTTTTACCTGTACCACAAACTTTTCTGCCAGTAGTAATGTTCTCTGTCCTCTCCAACACTGTGGGGTGAGATAACAAAAACCACACTTGCATGCTTATAGGAGGTGTTCCGCTGACATGATACTTGTCAGCTGCTCTTCTAGTCACTGCTTCCCTCCACCTTCTCTGAAGCCGGTGTTGGCAGACCAAGAAGGGGGAGCACTGCCTGCGTGCTGCGGAACTCGGCTCCCTTCCCTTCCACCTGTAGGTGGGTCCCAAGCAGTGTGTCTGTGCCTGTCCCAGACACCAGCTGCTGAACATGTTGGTAGGAATCAGTGTGTACCTTTTTATAGATGTTTGTTACCCTTCTCAGAAGTGTAAGCTTTATAAAGCCTAATCCAAATTAAAGACAGATTTTTATCTATCAAAAAACAGGGATTATAGTTTTTGTTTTCAGAAACATACAAGAAATCTCTAGATTTATTATTTGTAACTGTCATCATTTTAATACACCTCAAAAGCACTTTTTTTTTGGAAATTTAAAAATGGGTAACTAGGAGATGTTAAATGCATTTCTATGCAGTGTTAACGTGTTCACAACTGTAGAATCCATAGAATTGAAGTACATGGAGAAAAAAGTTTCTCCAGAGAATGTGGAAAGCTATTAAATTTTGTTTGCAAATTATTTCAGAATTCGCTTGTGTACTATAATGGATCTCTGGATTTCTCTCTTTTCATGCTCTTGCCTTGTGGGCAATGATGTCCTGTGAGCTGACTTTCTAGAGAGCTATATTTTGTTCAGGTGTGAATACATATTAATAAGATAATGCGTCTTTGCTTAATGTGACCTGCGACAAAGTGTGTTCATATGGATCAGTTAGGTCTTACCATGTGAAAACAAATGAGAAAAAATTTTAAGTATGAAGTAAGTTGGTTTCTCTCCTTTTTAAAAGACATCAGATGTACACATTTGTATTAATCATGTTCTTTCATGTATATTATTATCAGTCTACATGTGGGCCTATTATGATTATTTTAATAATATAACGAATACCTGTGAACTTGCATTAAGTTGTACTTTATCTTGTTCTTGCTTTTTTTTTTTAACTTTTTTAAATTTAAAAATTAAAAAACTTGGCAAAACAACAAGAAGACAAAAAACAACACAAAAACAACAGAAATGATACATGACCTCAAAACAAAATGATAAAAATTTACAGTGATTGCTACATTACATACTGTTATCTTCAACGAAGTTGCCCAGTCCACTAGACATAAGAATGTAAGCTTGATCAAACAAAGACAGTAACAAGTAAAAAACAAAATAAAAACAAAAATAATAAAAACATAAAACATTGGAAATGATGTAGAGCTTCACCGTGCAAAATGGTAGGAGTTCAACAATGGTTCTTCAATGGATCTGTTATTCTGATTACCAAAACCACACACATTAGCAATACACCTATTGCAGTTCTCCTTATATATACATATAAATTTTGTTTTTCATTAAGAAAATAACAAAAACAAATACATAAAACAGCATAGAGAGCAATCAAAATGATACAAAATTTCAAAACATGATGATAGGATATTAACAATGGTTGTTATGTTACATAATGTCATCTTCAAAATGGATGCACATATAACCAGACGTAGGCATGCAAGATTGATCAATTACACATTAACAGTTCCTTTCAATAAACCAACAGATATTAGTAGAACAATTATCCTAGCTATCCTGTGTGTCTA